CTCTTCTTTTGCAGCTAAACAGAACAGACTATTGACTCGGAGTCGGATCGAGTCAGTAAATCGAATACGCTATAAGACTTTGATAAGTACGAGACAAGTCACATTTTCACAATTCAGCAAATAATAACGAAATGGCACCGTGCACAAATTTCGTCGTCAAAACTGGTCAAAATGTCACATTTCCACGCCTATAAGTTCGGCCATTTATCGTGGTGTGGCGCTGTAACACACATATAAGCACGAGCCCATGTCCGTGTGCTAGCAGGCGAGCACACGGTAATAATACTTTTGCAATCCGTACATCCAATACAGAGATTTTTCACCGAATAGGAATGTGGTAAAACAGGGAGCTTTAGCATCGCCTTAAGACGAGGAATTGCGTTATAAATATTTGTTGGAAATGGCGACTTCCGGCTAATTGGTGCCTATTCTCTTTACTCTGCGAACCAAAACAAAACTATTGCATTGTCATAACTATGGTAATTTCTTCTTTCTACTTCTAGTTTTTCTTCGAAAAGTGGAATTTTTACTTACAAATTTATGCCCTCAATAAAGAATATAATCAAGGACTAATAGGTGCTTTCCATTTGATGGTCCACACAAGTCGACCAGTGTCAGTCTATCTTTGTCTCTCTCTGAATTTCAACAGGGATAGACGCTTCTGTCGACTTGTGTGCTTGTGTCATCAAAAGGAAAACACTCAATATCTTCCAATGGTTAATCATTATGAATGTATGTTTTTGTTAATATAAAGGTTATAACAATTCTAATTGTTTACTTATGAGCCTACGAACTATATTTTAATGCTTTCGTAGATTAAATTTGGAGATCTGGAAAAAGATGACCGATTCAAAAAACTGCAAGAATTCCTGAAACTCTCTGGAAAGGAACATAGCAAGAGTATACACGATAGAAAACCATCAACTGCAATAACTTGGCCGAGTAGTTCCAATATTAATGTAGATACTTTGGATTCCAGCATTGCAACACCATTGCGACAAACTTCTTTGCTCAACAGCGAAGTCTTAGCTTCCAGCAATAATTTTAGAAATATATTTTTAAAGAAGAAGAGCCACAATATTAAGCAAGAAGCAATGACTACATCTAGTCTCAAACAGTACGATGTCAAGAAGGATGATCATGTCGATCGGCTTACTATGCCACCCCCAATGGGAAACACAATTTATCGCACTGTTCGGGAATCACAAAATGAAATCCGTGCATTGTCGAATTGCGAAAAAGTGTTGCCTTCATTTGATTCATCTATACGCTCTTCAACGGTAAATACATGTTTGAAGAGCGCTCCTACCTCGATATCCACTAATACAGGTGCTGATGGATCTATTATACCAAAGTATCAGAAAACTTGTGTCTCACCGAGTTCTATCCATAATTCTCGGAATATTGATCGAGTATTTTCAAAATGGAAAATTACATTAAATAGCTGCTACGAATTAATAATTAAAGGAACTTTAGATTGGTAAGTACAAAATAAAACGCTGCATTAATATTTAAATGTTAATGTTTATTTTCTTTGCAAACAGTGGTAGGGTTGTACGTAGTAAACCAGTTATAAGAAGATACTCTGCAAAATGTGTTGAATCCAAATACAAGCATATATATATTCTGACGGGGAATATTGTTGATGAAAGCAATGGTAATAATTTGTATAAAATTCATTAATATTTTATAGTTTACATATTAACTCTCTGTTGATCAAGTTAGACTTCGAAGTCAATTTTTTGATTGTATATTCTGGTAGGTAAATGTAAATCTGTAAAAAATAAGTAAAATGCAATCTGACTTCTGCGATAATAAACACTCGTTACAGTTTTTGTAAGTATGCAAGAATTTTTTCAAATTTTTTATAGTTTAAAATATAAAAATCTGTACTGAAACTCAAAGATCCATATTGCTAACAGAAAATACAAAATTCTAATAATTGATGGAGAGTTAATAACTTATATACTTTATTATAGGATTACCAGATTATATTCGTGGAAAATTTTATAATGGTTTTCCTGACGATTGGGAGAACGTTCATCAAATATGGAGGACATATGCCGAGCAAAGATGTCCAGTAACGTTTCGTTGGCCCACCCCTATTACTGACAGTGATGACGATTTAAAAAGCGAATTGACAGATATGACTTATGCACATGTAAAAAATAAGAACACTATTTCTGCAACAAAATCTTCTAACTTAAACAAGTCTAATAAGATTGAAAATATGAATGGTACATCTAAAGAGAAGGAAATATGTAATTATTCTACTCATAGTATTCCAACTTGTGAAAAAAATTCATTTATAAAGCCTTTTATTTACAACTCTGAAAAAGATATAATTCCTGTTGTACAAACAAAGAATACGAAGTCTTTATGTGATGAAGCTAGTAAGCAAAATTTCAATTCCAATATAAATCCACCATGCAGTTCTAGGAAAGTGAATAAATTGGATAATATTCTTCGGCAAGATAAACTGAACATCATTATTAACAGTTTGGTAGACAAGAATTGCTCTCAAGAGTACATCGACAAAATTTTTGAGATGTTGGATTGTTCGGATTATGCAGTGTCTTACAGAACGGAACCGGAATGTAATAACGATTCGATGACCTCCACGAATCACGAAACATATAAATCAGAAATAATGTCATTGCAAAAGAGTTTAGTTTGTGATGACAACCCCGTGAACACTAATAAGCTTCAAAACAAATCAATGGAATTAAAAAGCTGCACAATAGGACACTCCATCGATCCGGGATACGGAAGCATAAAAAATGATTCTGGTACTATCCAGTTATCGAATTCAGCAAATCTTAGACCGGGACACGACAACAATTCAGACAAATTGGAGAGCGAGATTTATGCGGGTATACGCAAAATATCGATTGAATCAGTTTTAAAAGCTAGAGAATCACCTGGAAAAATATATAAACGTAAAGTGAAAAAGAAAACGACTTATCCGGACACTCAGAAACATACGATGAATCTGACGTACAATACAAAAGAAATTAAGTCTAGCCATATGGTAATGAATGAAGAGAAAAAATTACTTCCAAATGAATCCTGCGTCAGTATAACAGAAGATGAAGTGGGAACAGCACACAACATGAGGAAGTGTCGCCAAACAATACCTATTAGTCCAAGATCACAAAAAATGACTTATTCCAGTGGTCGAGAAATAGAGAAAAATTTTGAAGTGTATGAGAAAGGCAAATCTCTCTCTCTCTGTAATGCATGTGCAAAATAAACATCCAATTAATGCTTTTGACACACAGAGTTAATTCGGATGTTTTTATAAAGGAGCAAAAGATTCCATATAAAGTTCAAAACAATGTACATTCACAGTTTGTTTCAGATGTTGATACTATCAATTCTAATGTCAACATTGTAACCGTAAGTTCACGAACAGCAGGTAGAAATGTAACAGCATCACCAGCTAAGGTGAACCAAGACATTATGACAATCAGCGAAAATGAGTTTTCTAAAAAATCCAACGTCTCTTCAAAATTACATAGAGAATTTATCGAACAAACGAAAAACGATATTGTGATGAAAAAATCCAAACCTACCATAATCAGTTCGATACCGGTAAATTTGAAGATGGGAATAAGTAGAAAAAACTTGAATAGAAATACTGAGCAATTGCCTTCCAAGATAATCAACAATGACGATAAACAGAATAAAAATATTCGGCCATCGGAAAACATTAAAAAGAACTTCATGTCAATTGCTTCAAAATCTGTGGTTAATGATTCTCATACGAAGACAATTGACAATAAAAGAGAGGTTTATCCAATAACAAATAACAATAAATTGCATGATGTAAATTCTACTAATCTGACGACGAATCCAACAACTGAGCAACCTAAAAGCAGCAAAGAACAGTGTGGATTAAAAAAAAATCCCAAAAGGTTGACTGCATGGATTATGTAATATTTTATTTATTATGTAATATTTTCGCGGTTTCTTCCTATGTACATAATACAATTTTATGGAAACTTTATGAAGGCCTCATGAACACGCTCTGCAATTTCTTGATTCACTTTCCTACACATTGATGGCATCAATGAGAAAAATAATTTGAATAAAAAATTGGAATTTACTATAATTTACGAACGGTTCTTATTTATCAGTGACTATAGAAAGATATTAAATATAAGACTACGGTCAAAATAGAATCATAATATTTTACAAGATTATATTTTATCTTGATTTTAGTCTCAAGATATATATTTTATATTAGAGTCATAATATTTTATGGGCATTGATAGGATAACGTTGAAAAATAATTGTAACTGAATTATTGTTCAAAAATATTTTATATTTTTCATTGATGCCATTATGTTCATAATATAGCGAATTGATCTAATTACTTATCGTATCAATAATATAATATCTCTTAAATATAAATATCGCTATAATAAATAATTGTTTACAGATTTCTATACATAAATACCTGGACTGCTATGTCACAATCAGAAAAATGAAAGTACTCCAAATGGTCTCAAGATTCATAAGATATTAAATGTATGGATTCACATGACATAACTAAAAAACTTGCCTACTAATTCATAATTAGTACGTTAACGATCTAGATATTCTATAGAAATCTGTCTTATATATCTTAGTCTTTATAAGAAAATATCTGTACAATATTTAAATTGTTCAAAATAATGGCATTTACTTGACATTGTTAAAGATTGCAGTTAATTTTAATGTTTTATTTAATCCTTGAATAAAGACGAAAGATGATTATCTTTTGTATTTGTATCTATCGACTACAAAAAAAAGAAATAACATTCACAAGATAACGACAAAAAACTCCAAAAAACAGGGCGAATGAGAGTCAGCGTGGTAATTAATACGCAATCTTAAATCCTCAATCCAAAAAATAGAATCTTTATTCCAAAAAATAGATACGTTTCAGTTCACTTTGGAACCATCTTCAGCAAAACAAAGATATCAATCCCTTCATGTCCAAGAAAAAATCATCATCAGATTAGCAGATTTGATGTTATAATCTATTCGAAACATTAAAATGATCTTATAAATATTTCTATTGAACAAGTTTCAAATTAAAATTAAAACTGGTGACTCACCCCAAGACATAGAAGGAATTCGTCTCAACATTGGATCAACTAATTACAATTAATATTCACTAAAAGAGTATCAAAATAAAAAACGCATGTTGATCGCAGCTCGAACGAAACATGACTAATACATTTAATATAATAAGACAGACATGTCAGGTCAACCACGCAAATAAAAAGAAAAAGAAAAAAGGACAATGTTAATACATAAACAAAAATTTCCTTTTTTCCAGTCCTTTTTTCTTTTTCTTTTTATTTGCATGGTTGACCTGACATGTCTGTCTTATTATATTAAATGTATTAGTCATATTTCGTTCGAGCTGCGATCAACATGCGTTTTTTATTTTGATACTCTTTAGTGAATATTAATTGTAATTAGTTGATCCAATGTTGAGACGAATTCCTTCTATGTCTTGGGGTGAGTCACCAGTTTTAATTTTAATTTGAAACTTGTTCAATAGAAATATTTATAAGATCATTTTAATGTTTCGAATAGATTATAACATCAAATCTGCTAATCTGATGATGATTTTTTCTTGGACATGAAGGGATTGATATCTTTGTTTTGCTGAAGATGGTTCCAAAGTGAACTGAAACGTATCTATTTTTTGGAATAAAGATTCTATTTTTTGGATTGAGGATTTAAGATTGCGTATTAATTACCACGTTGACTCTCATTCGCCTTGTTTTTTTGGAGTTTTTTGTTGTTGAATTTGCGAGAGTCCGTAAGAAGACATTATTATTGTTCACAAGAATATATACATATATGAAGATAAATATGTAGAAAAATACTTTTTTTTTAAATTAAATTTTCGCGTGTTTGTTATCAATGCACAAAATCTTGAGACAGTGGTAGTATCTCGGCGCTAAGCTACGCGCAGCAACATAATATTTATACGGAATTACCGTCCGAGATTATACAACCGATTCTTCGTCCTCCGATAGGGTGTCTTCTGATTTCGAAATACTTTTATAATAATTATATGTCACATTTGGCCGCTCCCTTAATGCCATGGTATATCGTGATTTTGAATTTACATTTTTGTTTATCTTACAATTGCACTCATACTGCGTAAAAAAGATACAATATAATTTCTTTCTTGAAAATATATGATTAGCAAAATAACTGTTACGATTGATTTCAATGTTACCTTTCGCTGAAATGCTTTTTGCTCCTCTTCGTCGCTGGAAGAATCGGGAAAGCTCATCAACTTCCGTCGTTTACGATAGACAGATTTCCTCGAGTTATCAGATCTCTTTGGATTGTTCGTAGCATTGACCTTATATGATGTTTTAGGATCTTGAGTCTTTTCAATAACAATCGTTTAAATTTAAAAAATCCATAAATTTTTTGTTAATGAACTTATTTTTAACAGAAATATAATTATATAAACTTACTTGATTTTTGTTTATATCTGAAGTATTTGATTCAGACATTATTTGTTTATTTACATTTTGCTTCTGTGATGTATTCTTAGAAGTCCCATTTTGTTTATTTGTTTCTTTATCAGTATCCTTCACAACAAAATATATACAATTATAATAAAAGCAGATGTAAATATTATAATTATAGAAATTTTTACCTTAGTATTCCTTTGAATTTCTCTTGAGTTATCAATCTGTGAACAAAACGATGATTCCTGTGAACTGCCCGGACTATAGACTACATTGTTATCTTTCAACGTTATACGTTCACCTGTAAAAAAAAATAATAAAAAATAGCTTTAGATTATTTATCTATTTTTGTAAAAAAATTAATGTATCTTTTCACATTTTTATTATTAATCTACTCACCTGTCCAGTAACATAATGGAGGTAAAATATGACGACCCCTCTTACTAACAGGTGCATTTAGCGAGTCCACTGTTGCATCATGAGAGTTCTGACTAATTTCTTGAATATTATCTAGAAAACGAAAATAAATGCGACACATGAACATATAATATTTATTAAAAGTTAAATATATTTTAAGAAACTTACCTTGCTGCAACGTTTTCCAAGTCAGACAAAATTGCTCAATCGAAGGACACCCATAACGACATTGTTTTGCAAGTTCCTTGGGAATAACTAAATATGATAAAGTAATATTGTTAATTGATAAATATTTATCAACGTACAATGATACAACGTTAATGATTTTGGATACTTTACTATGCTTATTGTCGTTTAAATTTCCAAGAAGTTCAAAGAATTCATGATTCACTAATTCGACTAGTGTCGCTGATAATCGCTTCAGCACAATGCCTGTCGTATAATTTCTGTGCATAACGTGGCCAGCTTCACTATATAGTAAAAAGAAAAAACAAAATATATTGTTTAATTATTAATTATATATATTATATGTAACTGTAATTATTTGATTATTAGACATACCTATTATCTAAGAGAGAACTTACTTGACTAATTTTCCTTGAAAAGTTAAACCTAATCCAGATTTTGATTTTGCATAACGTATTACTTTTGGCATCCATGCAGTCAACCTTTTGGGATTTTTTTTTAATCCACACTGTTCTTTGCTGCTTTTAGGTTGCTCAGTTGTTGGATTCGTCGTCAGATTAGTAGAATTTACATCATACAATTTATCGTTATTTGTTATTGGATAAACCTCTCTTTTATTGTCAATTGTCTTCGTATGAGAATCATTAACCATAGATTTTGAAGCAATTGACATGAAGTTCTTGTTAATGTTTTCCGATGGCCGAATATTTTTATTCTGTTTATTGTCATTGTTGATTATCTTGGAAGGCAATTGCTCAGTATTTGTATTCAAGTTTTTTCTACTTATTCTCATCTTCAAATTTACCGGTACCGAACTGATTATGGTAGGTTTGGATTTTTTCATCACAATATCGTTTTTCGTTTGTTCGATAAATTCTCTATGTAATTTTGAAGAGACGTTGGATTTTTTAGAAAACTCATTTTCGCTGATTGTCATAATGTCTTGGTTCACCTTAGCTGGTGATGCTGTTACATTTCTACCTGCTGTTCGTGAACTTACGGTTACAATGTTGACATTAGAATTGATAGTATCAACATCTGAAACAAACTGTGAATGTACATTGTTTTGAATTTTATATGGAATCTTTTGCTCCTTTATAAAAACATCCGAATTAACTCTTTGTGTGTCAAAAGCATTAATTGGATGTTTATTTTGCACATGCATTACAGATTTGCCTTTCTCATACACTTCAAAATTTTTCTCTATTTCTCGACCACTGGAATAAGTCATTTTTTGTGATCTTGGACTAATAGGTATTGTTTGGCGACACTTCCTCATGTTGTGTGCTGTTCCCGCTTCATCTTCTGTTATACTGACGCAGGATTCATTTGGAAGTAATTTTTTCTCTTCATTCATTACCATATGGCTAGACTTAATTTCTTTTGTATTGTACGTCAGATTCATCGTATGTTTCTGAGTGTCCGGATAAGTCGTTTTCTTTTTCACTTTACGTTTATATATTTTTCCAGGTGATTCTCTAGCTTTTAAAACTGATTCAATCGATATTTTGCGTATACCCGCATAAATCTCGCTCTCCAATTTGTCTGAATTGTTGTCGTGTCCCGGTCTAAGATTTGCTGAATTCGATAACTGGATAGTACTAGAATCATTTTTTATGCTTCCGTATCCCAGATCGATGGAGTGTCCTATTGTGCAGCTTTTTAATTCCATTGATTTGTTTTGAAGCTTATTAGTGTTCACGGGGTTGCCATCACAAACTAAACTCTTTTGCAATGACATTATTTCTGATTTATATGTTTCGTGATTCGTGGAGATCATCGAATCGTTATTACATTCCGATTCCGTTCTGTAAGACACTGCATAATCCAAACAAACAAACATCTCAAAAATTTTGTCGATGTACTCTTGAGAGCAATTCTTGTCTACCAAATTGTTAATAATGATGTTCAGTTTATCTTGCCGAAGAATATTATCCAATTTATTCACTTTCCTAGAACTGCATGGTGGATTTATATTGGAATTGAAATTTTGCTTACTAGCTTCATCACATAAAGACTTCGTATTCTTTGTTTGTACAACAGGAATTATATCTTTTTCAGAGTTGTAAATAAAAGGCTTTATAAATGAATTTTTTTCACAAGTTGGA